TCTTCTAACTTCCAAACTACGAATTCTCTGCATTTATTCACACCACACACTACCCTCAGACATGACATCTCCACTGCCTCCAGCCTTCTCCTCGCTACAACATTCATCACCCATGCTTCACACCCATATAAGAGCGTTGGTAAAACTATATTCTCATACATTCCCCTCTTTGCGTCCAAGGACAAAGTTCTTTGTCTCCACAGACTCCTAAGTGCACCGCTCACCCTTTTCCCCTCATCAGTTCTATGATTCACCTCATCTTTCATAGACCCATCCGCTGACACGTCCACTCCCAAGTATCTGAATACATTCACCCCCTCCATACTCTCTCCCTCCAATCTGATATCCAATCTTTCATCACCTAAACTTTTTGTTATCCTCATAACCTTACTCTTTCCTGTATTCACTTTTAACTTTCTTCTTTTGCACACCCTACCAAATTCATCCTCCAATCTCTGCAACTTCTCTTCAGAATCTCCAAGAGCACCGTGTTCATCAGCAAAGAGCAACTGTGACAACTCCCACTTTATGTGTGATTCTTTATCTTTTAACTCCACACCTCTTGCCAAGACCCTCGCATTCACTTCTCTTACAACCCATCTATAAATATATTAAACAACCACGTGACATCACACATCCTTGTCTAAGGCCTACTTTTACTGGGAAATAATTTCCCTCTTTCCTACATACTCTAACTTGAGCCTCACTATCCTCATAAAAACTCTTCACTGCTTTCAGTAACCTACCTCCTACACCATACACCTGCAACATCTGCCACATTGCCCCCTATCCACCCTGTCATACGCCTTTTCCAAATCCATAAATGCCACAAAAACCTCTTTAGCTTATCTAAATACTGTTCACTATATGTTTCACTGTAAACACCTGGTCCACACACCCTACCTTTCCTAAAGCCTCCTTGTTCATCTGCTATCATATTCTCCGTCTTACTCTTAATTCTTTCAATAATAACTCTACCATACACTTTACCAGGTATACTCAACAGACTTATCCCCCTATAATTTTTGCACTCTCCTCTCTCTCTCTCTCTCTCTCTCTTATATATATATATATATATATATATATATATATATTATATATATATTATATATATATATATATATATATATATATATATATATAACTTTAATGTTAAAAACAACATAGACTTGGTTGATAAATTAAGCTCCTTGACTGACTTAAATGATTTTAACATGGTTAGTTTTGATGTTACTTCCTTGTTTACGAAAGTTCCTGTTGATGATTTATTAAGTTTCTTATCTCAAGAACTCGTTAACTATGATTTACCATTGCCAGTTCCTACTTTGCATTGTTGATGCAAAATTTGCATTTAATGATAAGTTTTACACTCAGAAGTTTGGTATGGCAATGGGAAACCCTCTTTCACCTGTTCTTAGTAACCTATACATGGAATTTTTTGAAACAAGGTTGCTTAACACAATCCTCCCTAATAGAGCTAAATGGTTCAGATATGTTGATGATATTTTGTGTCTTATGCCCAAAAATGTAGATACACACCATTTCCTTGGAAAATTAAATAGCTTAGCCCATTCTATAAACTTTACTGTTGAGTTTGAAGAAAATAACTCATTGCCTTTTCTAGATGTTTTAATTATTAAGGGTAATAATGAATTCAAATTTAAATTTACAGAAAACCTACAAATAACTGTTCCTATGTCCACTACTATTCCTCGCATCAAGATAGAGTCAAACTGTCTGTTTTCTCATCAAAGTTTTTGAGAGCTTTACGAATTTGTAGTCCTGAGTTCATAGATGAGGAAATATCCAAAATTTATGAAATAGGTAATGATTTAAAATACCCAAGAAATGTAATTTATAAATCTTTTAAAGTTGCTAGAAATACTTTTTACAATCCAAAAAGGGACAACCAGCCTTATTCAACTAAAAATATGTTGGTTCTCCCTTACCATGAAAACTTGGTTGATATGCCTTCTCTTCTTAAGACTTTTAATATTAAAGTTGTATTCAAAAATCTTGATACAGTAAAAAAAAACTTTTGATAAAGAATTCCCCCCAAAATGCTGATGGATGTGTCTATAAGATTCCTTGTAAAAATTGCGATAAAGTTTATTACGGTCAAACTGGTAAAAATCTCGAACTAAGATTATGCTCTATTTATTCATGTAAGAGATTTTAACCATCCAATTGATTTTCAAAAAGTTGAGAAAGAAGTATCAAGCAAGTCCATGGTCGACAGGAATATAATTGAATCTTGTTTCATAAAAAGCAGTTTTGACAATAATATGAATATTTCCTTTGGTTTATATAAATTAGATCCATTTATAATTAATAGAATTTGGGAAGAATTTAATAATACACTGGACAAATAATTTTTAAATTTTCTTGGGTAGAATAGTTTGTGGGTGAGTTGTGCAAAGGACCTATCCAAGTTGGGTCGGCGCGCGTCAGGTGTTTAACGTTGTGGGATCTGATAAGTGAGGTGCTGGCCAGACCCCTTATATAGCTTCCTTGGATGCTTTACTTTCATAGTTCCTTGATAATGTGAGTAGTCACGAAAGCGCTTGGAATTTCTCTATTCTTTCAGAGTGGTTGTTATATATATATATATATATATATATATATATATATATATATATATATATTATATATATATATATATATATATATTATATATATATATATAATATATATATATCATATATATATATATATATATATATATATATATATATATATATATTATATATTATATATATATATATATATGTATATATATATATATATATATATTATATATATATATATATATATATATATATATATATATATATTTCCCAGTCCACATATGCAATTCCCGATGATAAAACACCAACAATATCACCAGGTCCTACTGTAATACAACGCACGCTGTTTGAAATAACAGCAAAGAACAACAAATAAGCCCTAGTATAGCATAAAACAAGTTGACTGGATTCCTAACAATAACACTAAGCCCAGTTCTTACAAAACACATGATGGTTAGAACACTACCAATAACACTAAGTCTCACAACACGCACATATTCCTCTCTCGTGAAACGTCAGGGCAAAACTCTGGACTGGTGGAGAGAAACGCCACAAGCAAAAATATATAGTATAATCATCGGTCCCACTGTAGTGGGACCTGTTAGACTAATATCGAGTATTGCATGTTAGAGTGGTACCTGACTTTATCGTTTGTGTTCTAACATCATGTGTTATGTGTTACAGTGGAACCCGGTGTTATTGTTAGTGTTCTGACATAATGTATTATGTATTACAGTAGGACATGGTGCTGTTTTTAATGTTCTAACAACATGTACTGTGTGTTGCAATTATTGTCAGTGTTCTAACATCAAGTTCTGTGTTACAGTGGAACCTGGTGTGTGGGCGTGAGACACTTCGTTCACTTATACAGAGCGTCTATATGATGGGATACGCAGTCGGTTCTCCTCTTGGAGGCTTCTTCTCAGACAGGTAACCTCCCGTCTTCCCATTTCTGACAGGTGATTCCCTGTTTATTCACGAGGATCCCACCCATCGATCGCGGATTTCTCTCCCGTGTGACGCTCCTCCCTTGAAAGTGAGACACCACCTTCATATTCATTATTTTATATCTCATGTGCGTTTTCCTGCTCGTTTAGGAAGCAGGAAGTTACTAGTTTTCAGTGCAACTTTATTTGAAGCACCAATCTGAGCCTACATCAAATTGATATGTTCAAAACAATTCCACTTTGAAAACATGATTTAATATTCGTGGTGCATAAAGGCTAGTTAGTTTGTTGTGACTGTTCCAGCCACAGTACAGTGGCTGAAACAGTTCACCGATATTCCCCACTCCTGAAATGACACTTTAGATGACATTTCGGTTCCCCCAGACAATGTGACTTGATAATGGTAATGAAAGGGCCGAAACATCGTCTACAATTTTCTCTTCAAAGTGTGGATTATTTATGACAGGTAAAACGTACCAATTGCAAGTGGGTATCATTAAGGTTAATTATCCCTTGTACACTAATAACTGAGACTTTCAGTCGCTAAACTTGGGATTCAATTAAACTCTCAGATACACATGTGTTGGTAATGTGTAAGACATATGAACAAGCCCTGGGTATCTTTACTAATAAGACGGTTCCCCAACAGGGCGGCTTTTTCAGTCCAGTATATAAAATAAACACTGGAGACGATGGAAGTGAAGAGGTAATTTTGAATGGTTCAGCCCCGTAGACTTGACAGGTATTTAGTCCTTTAGTCTTGATAAATCTTTTGGTATATATACAGTACCTCGAGACAAACATCTTTCTGTGTATATATACTGAGAGGACTATATATATATATATATATTATATATATATATATATTATATATATATATAAATATATATTTATATATAATATATATAATGGTGTGTGTGTGTGTGTATGTGTGTGTATTATATAATATATATATACTAGACACGGGAGGATGGAATCTTCAGCTCAAGATGTTTCACACGTCTCAGTGAAATATCTTGCCCTGAAGATTTCTTCATCCTTAATGGCTTATCTTGCATTGTTCAGGTCACCTGTCTGCGATTGTAATATATATATATATATATATTATATATATATATATATATATATATACACACACATTGATCTCTGGCTGAAGGAGACTCGAACCTACGAACCTAGGAACAAAGTGCGCAGTGCTTTACGATCTACCCACACTGGACAATACCTTGGAGTCCAGCTTGCACTAGACTTTGATCTAAGGCAGCCAGCTTTCAGGGAGAAGGCTTACAGCTTTTCATCTCATCCTCTGCATGCATTGGCCTTACTAGAGATATTAACAATGCAAGGAATTCGCAAGAGCAGGCGAAATATACACAAACACTGATCTCTGGCTGAAGGAGACTCGAACCTACGAACCTTGGAACAATGTACGCAGTGCTTTACCAATCTACCCACACTGGAGTCCAGCCGAAAATTCCTATAACCCTCTGTAAATTCAGTGTTCCATCTCCTACCATATACTTCCCGATTGCGGCACTTAGATCTGTAAAATGTCGCTGCCAGCGCCTTTATTCTTTCACCCGCTCCTATATCTCTCATTGCCCATGATGTGAACACGAAATCAGTTACTAGATATGCCACTGTGCTTTTAACCTGCGCTCCCACCCCATCAATGTCTAAACTTAACACTCGCAATACCTACAACCCACCCCCTACCATAAATCGAATTACCCTTCCAAACCATTCCCTGACCCTCCCTATACGTTCACAAAAGTATACAACATGAAAAATGGTTTCTAGTTCACCACACGCTCGAAACTCCCCACCTTTCCTGAGCTTTCGATTAAATAAGACGATCCCAGACGGCAGAATCCCTTGTAAAAAGCGATACATCACCTCTCGTACACCCGGACTAATGCACAACTTCCGGAGACGTTCCCATATGTCGAGCCAGGCATACATCGGGTATGCTCCTTCCACAGCAGCCACCTCCAACCCCCTCCCCCCCCACTCTCTCGATTACACGCAGCTTGATTCGAACTGGATCCCTCGCCACCATCAAAACTCTCAACATCGCCTCCCCTACTCGTAAATCCTTCCCCGTCCACCAACGTTTTATGTCCGCGTGCACCCCCCCTTATTCCCACCCTCCCGCAGAAAACTCCGTTTCACATAAATACTCATAATCCTACGTTCCAGCGGTATGAGCCCCAGCCCTCCTTGGCAAATTGGCAAAGTAATTACCCCTCTGCTTAACCACTCACAGCCAGATCCCCAAATAAACCGATAAACCCTACGCAACAAATTCGTGACCTCTCGGCTCATTAACGGATACATGACCACCACATGCCATAATTTACTATATAATAGTACGTTTGTCACGATTACTCTTTAGTGCAACGTGAGATGTGCCGACATCAATCCTCCTAGTCTTTTTAACACACTATCCACAGCTCTCACCGAATTCATCTCACATGCCACCAACGGATCACAAACATACACAATCCCACATATCTTAAGTTGGTCCACCACACTCCACCTACCCCTCATACTCCCACTCATTTGGTCCCAATTTCCCACTGCCATGAACTTAGTCTTCGTGGCATTAATTCTCATCCCTGTCGCCTCTTAAAAAACGTCCACGATTCCTTCCACCTACTGTAAGTCTACACCACCCACTACCAAGACCATTGTATCATCTACGTAATCCACAATACCAGGCCACCCATCGCTCTCATAACCCCCCAAACCTCCCAAAACACATGCCTGCACCGCCCTATAAAAAGGATCCTGAAAACACACAAACAATAATTGTGAAAGGGGACAGCCTTGCCTCAAATCCCGACCCATCTGAACTGGCACACCTAACCAATCATTGACCTGCACACGCATAGTCACCCCTTGTATAAAGTCTGTGCCCAAGAGATGATTTCATTCCCAAAACCCTGCCAACACATGAACTGGCACAATGCTCCCCTTTCTACACTATCATATGCAGTAGCCCAATCCAATGCTAAAATCCCCCCCCCCAACCCAACACCTGTCGCCTTTCTATGAAACCTCCAATCATCCCATGGCCTTCGAACATGGACCTGCCTGGTATCCCGTATTGTCCCGTATTGTCCATCACATTTTTCAGTCTGTTCCCCAGTATCCTCGCGAACCACTGCCGTCTGTTGCAATTCTCCCATAACCCCAACAGTCTTTAAGATGTTAAATAACAGTACCAAAAACACTCATCACGCCCCAATTTGTTACATAGAAATCACTCGGTAGCCCATCAATGCCAGGTCCTTTACCTAAGCTCGCCCCAGCCAGAGCCTGCCATATTTCACACTCCGAAATAGGCCCTTCCAATGCTTCTCTGTCTTCCATACTAAGCCCACACTGCATGTTGTTACCGATTTCCCATATTGCTATATTACTTATCCCAATGCTTGACATGTAGGTCTTAAACCAAGCATCTATATACCCGCTCATGCCCTCCATCGTCACCAACACTTGGCCCTCGTGATAGCCTTCTCTCCCTGCATGCACTGTGGCTGCTCTCCGCTGCCTATGTTCTCTCAACACACAGGCCGAAGGCCGATCCCCATAGAAAACCTCCTCCAAACCTCCCACAACCCGTGCACCATCAAAACAATCATTATTCAAGCCCCTTATAGGTTCTTTTAAATCCTCAATTTCCTCTACAGGGTATCATGCACCATCACCCACATAACAATCACATAACTGTCCTTCAAAATACCCCTGAAGCCCGTACAACATTTGATTATTTTCCCACCCACACTGAACATAATAATCCCGAATACGTGTCTTAGCCACCATATCCCACCACCGAACCAAGTCACCATCCCCAGGAGTCCCTGCCCACAAACCCTCCCACAAAGTCGCAAAGGACTGGCTGCTTTCCTCCCCTTTCAACAATTTAACATTCAATTTCCAGTAACTGCGACTCCTTCTAGGTAATCCCTCCCACCCTACGTTGATGAGAACCCCTCTATGATTGGAAAACACCACATCCACGATATGCACGCTCTTGACTGCGACAGTACGCGGGACATACACTATCAAGTTGCACCGCATACCCACGACGTACAAAGGTATGCTCAACCTCAACCCCCCCCTGCCACATCCATTAATCCCACCCCAGTCAATAAATTCCCCAATACCCCAGAAAAGTGTCCACTTCCTCGGGGTTTAACAGCCCTACGCCGGATCACGCAATTCCAATCCCCTCCTATGACCGCCACTTCGGGGAGTGACTGCAAACAGTAAATTAATACCTCCTTCACAAAGGTAGTTTTTACACTCCCATCATTCTCTGCCGATCCATACACGCACACGAAGGCTGCCTTCTCCCTGCCCCATACACCTTCCATCCTTATTACACTCCCCTCCCCACCCTCGCAATATCTCACAACAAACGGGCTAGTCTCCCTGATCATGATGGCAATGCCACCTTTCAACTATACAGCATTTTCCACAAACACATCATACCCATCTATCCGCAACTCACTGCCTAATTTATGATTGTGTTCCTGTACGAACACAACGTCAACATTATTACCCACCAATAATTCTTGGAACCATACACGCTTTCGCACAGTCCTCAAGCCATTAATATTTATTGTCACGCACTTTAATTGGTCAGTGGGGGTTTTCCTCTCGATACTGAATGTTTCTCACCAGATCTTTTGTTTCCACCTTTTTCACCTCCCCCCATGTTAAAGCACTCTTCACCATTCCCTGAGCTTTAGGTCCACAGGGCCCTCTCTGTGCCACATCTGCCCAGGTTTTTTTCCCTGATCGCTGGGCTGGCGTCAGCACTTCCTCCGAGTCTGAAAGTGCAACAGAACACTTCCGCGTTACACTTTCCACCTGCATGTCGTCATCCACAGTACAGTCCTGGTGGACTTCCACCTCCACCGTATGTTTCAGCAAGGCGTCTGGGACACCCATGACCAGCTGCTCTTCGTGTCCAACGTCCACCTCCGCAGCAGGTCCCAGGTCTATGGAAGGGTCCATCGCAGGACTCATGCTCCTCTCTGTATAAAAATCATCCAGCATGGAGGCAATGGATTCCTCGACATCGTTGTTATGCACATCTTGCAGAGCCGGGCCCTCTACTGGTTCCACCTCCAAAGAAGGCGACACTTCCGGGAATGTGTCACACACTGTCTCCGTAGACCTCTCAACCTCTTCACTCCAAGACAATCCTGACGGTGTACACCGGCGCACCAGGCACATCTTGCCTCGCACCTTCCTCCTCAACGTCCGTGCTTTGTTGCCCAACCTTGCCACCTCGCTGTCGTTCATACTGTACCGCCATATGGTCATAAGCACAGCACAACCTGCAAGTGTGGCGTTGCCTTGCTTATGACACCAATACCTGAGTCCTGAAGTCCTGTAAAATCACGTAAGGGATTGGGTGTCGTAATGTCATCTTTACAGAAAACGTTCCCTCTGGTATCCCTGCATATGGGCCGTCAGACCACCTCCCTGCTGTAGCCATATGTATTGTGCCATAATTACCCAGTGCAGCTCGAAGGTCAGATACATCAGCCTCAAAGGGCACGTTTCTGACCTTTACCCATATGTAATAACGGGAGACATCATGTAGCTTCACTGACACTGCATGCTTAACCACTAGATTAACTTCCTAGAACTTGTCAACCACTGCTTCGTAAACATGAGCTGAGCAGAACTTCACAAAGATCGTCGACACACCATTCATTGTCACACCGCAAAAGTCCTCGTTGGCAATACCATAGGTATCACAAATTGTCGCAGGCAATAGTAGCGCCGTTGATGGTCCAAGCACGGCCCCACGGGTCAACTCAATACACACAGTATTGACATGGCGTCTACCCGCCAGCGCCATGTTGAGAAAATGTAACTGCCACCCGTCAACTATAGGGGGCAGCAGTAGCACACGTCCTCTCTACTCAAAGACGAATGATGTTCAGAGATAGTTGAACTGAAAATTCATTTGCTACATCATCAAAATTTTCTTCAGTTATACCTATTCAATTCAAACGTGATTTAGTAACCCTTGTAACTCGATCTTACCAGACATGTTCAGATTACAACATTCTTCATGGTAAATTACAACCATTTTTGAATGTCTGTAGGAACAAGCAGAGAGAGTGGTGTGAGCAAACATGTGGTAATACAGGGTTATATAAATTAGATTCATTTATAATTAATAGAATTTGTGAGAAATTTAGGCTATGCCAGATATGTCACTCATAACTTTTACTTGACATGTGACAGCGTGCTGGGTCAAGTGTAAGGTCATGACTCAAGAAATCGTAATGACACGATTGCAAACAAACCATACCCCCGGCCGGGATTGAACCCGCGGTCAGAGAGTCTCAAAACTCCAGCCCGTCGCGTTAGCCACTAGACCAGCTAGCCACAATAAGATTCATCCAACTAGGTATATTTCTACACCATAGGAAGGTTAGCACAGGCACCTCTGTG